TGAGTGGGCTCCACTGGAAGTCAGTGAGTGTGCTGTTCTATTGTTTTTGAAATTCAGCATCTATTCCCCCTTCTCCTAGTGACGAAATCCGATTTTCCTGTGGGGAACTTCCCTGGCTCTCCTCTCACCCGCATGGGGCTCCACTCCCCAGTTCAGGCAGCAGGAGACTCAGACCTAACATAACCTAAGTGTGCGAGCCCCTGGCCACGGTGACTAGAGCTTAATGGTGAAGATTTTCTTAAGCGACTGGAATGAAGTGGAGTGTGTGTGTGTGTGTGTGTGTGTGTGTGTGTTTTCTCAGCTGAGAGACAGCAGAACACGGAGGAGCACGCATTCTGGGACCCATGGCCTGGGCTTGAATCCCAGTTGCCCAGTTCTGCTACCCGCTGACTTGGTGACACCGGGTAAGTCACTTACTCTTCCTGGGTCTCAGTCCTCCCTTGTAAACGAGGCCGAGAGCCACCCTACCTCATGGGGTTGTTACGGGGGTTGAACAGGTCAATATTTGCAAAGCCTGGCGTGATGTTCATCTCCTCGACATTTTCACTTGGGTGTGTAATGGACATCTAAATTTAACATGTGCCAAATGAATCCTCCTTCCATTGTCTTCCTCAACTCAGTTAATGATATCTCCATCCTTCCAGTTGCTCAAACCAAAATCCTTGAAGTGATCTTCGACCTCTTTCTTTGTCTCTTTACCCCAGACACAAATGCTGTCAGTTCTACCTTCAAAATACATCGAGAAATCAACCAACAGAAGCTGATGTCAACCTGTTTCAAGCCACCATCTCCTCTTGCCCGGAGTACGGCACTGACATCCTCTGGAACGGTCTCCCTGCCTCTGCCCTCGCCCCACTTTAGTTTGCTCTCCACAAGCAGCCAGAGTGAGCCTGATACAATAAAGTCAGAAGACGTCACTCTTCTGCGCTGTGAGTGGCCCCTCTCCGCGCCCTCACACGTGCCATCACACCTCTAGCCTCTTCCCCTACTTCCTCCCATCTTGCTCTTTCTGCACCAGGCACTCCTTAGTCGACCTTTGCTCTTCTTTCAGCATACCCGGTGTTCAGTGGTTGATCTTCTCTTCCTTCTCGGGGAAGCCTGCTTCCCCAGAAGCCATGTGGTTCCCTCACCTTTTACAGACCTTTATTCAAATTCCACCTTCTCAGGGAGACCTTCCCTGTCCCTCACTCCAATGTTGCAACCCTTCCTTCCCCAGCTCATCCCCTTCCCTGCTCATTTTGTCTCTCAGCCTTCATCGCTACCCCACATAGGCTGTAGTTTACTGACATATCTTGTCTGTTCTGTCTGCCCTCCATTAGAATAGAAACTCCACAGGGATTACATGTTTTAAACTGCGCTATACCTAGTGCCTAAAGCAGTGCATGGGGCCTTAAACTTACATAGTGATATAGGTCAATTATTTCTCAATAAAACTGGAAAAAGTTAAAATAAATGAAACAGTTCATGGAACACAGCGAGTGCTCAGTATGCTCAGTGAAGGTTTCATGCATGAATGGAAGAGTAAACGAATGAAAGAAAAAAGATTTGCGTTAAAGTGTGACATTCATCAACACACAGTTTGGCTGCTAGCCAAGAAAAAGACTGCTTCATATTAAAGTCTAGTGCAGGGCAAAGAAGAATGAGAAAACTGACTCCCCCCCAAAAAAACCAATCAGGAAGTACAAGGTGCCCTTGGAAACTCACACTAAGCATGAAAACGCTTGCAAGAGATTCTCGACATAAGGTGTGGACGCTGTCACCTGACAGATTAAGGAGATCACACAACTAACTATGTGCAGGAGGTGGAGGGTGAGAACTGAGATGCTACTGAGTCTGTCAGGCTGAGGTTAGCCCTCACCGAGGAAGTGTCTGAGAAGCTGACTTATTACAACAAGCAAGCCAGTGCACGCTACCAGGAAGTGCAGACAGCCAGGTGAATTAAACACATTTCAAGGCATTCTGCCGAGTTCACTGAAAGTGCACAAGAAAGAGTGAATGAGGTGGCCGTGCTCAGTTTCAGGATGCGGGAGGAGAGGTCATGCAGTGTTCCTTTTCACAAGCCTGCTAGAAGGAAACAACAGCCCAGATGAGAGGCTGTGGTGTGTCTGACACCAATGAGTGTGCTTTTCTGTTGTGTTTGGTATTCAGCATCAATCAGCCTTCTTCTGATTGGAGGAGGTACAAAACCCGTTAGGGAAACAAACGCCTTTCTAGGAAAACAGGTCCACCCTGAGCTTCCCGGGGGCGCTCCGGCTGCCACGGGCACACGCCCAAGAACGTGATTCCAGAAGTTCCCCCTCTGGACCACAGATCCTCTGCAAGGACAGGCTGAATCTGTCAACTCTGGGCCAGCGCATAGTGATATTAACTATCTGTTGCCACTATCTGTTGTCTAATGACACAGAGGTAGACAGGCTTGAGATGAGGTTGTCTAAGTCATGGCTTACCTTTCTAAGCCTCTGATTTCTCATTTGTAATATGGGAAGAATAACATGCTTCCACGAAGGCAGCATAACAGGGGGGTTGTACACAACGTACGTGACACGAACTGATGTTAGCAGCTATTGCTGGAGGAGGGAAAGAGAGAACTATGTGGTTGATGGTAGCCTCTCCCCTCCCCTCCCTTCAACACTGCGCTTTACCACCCAGTCGATGAACAACAGATGCTCGCCGATGGATGGGCTTTAGCTGGTCAATCTGGTGGAGACCTTGGACCAACTTGTTTCTCCATCCTCGGCAGGTGATCAGTTGTTGTCACCAGGGCTGAACTGTGAGAGAGGGAACTATCCATTCTGCAGGCATTACCTGAGTGCCAGGGGCATACTAGGCACTGTTCTGGGGCAGGACTAAGAGGGGCAGGAGCGTTCACGGAGCTGGCCTGCTGGTGAGAGGAATGAGGAGAGGAGAAAGCCCCATTTCTAGAGGCTCTTCCTGGGAAGTTGGCTGCTCTTTGCTTCACACCCTCAGGTTCTTACAGCCAGGCCGAGCACAGGGAGATCACAGGACAAGATGCAGAGCTTAAAGAGCTACCAAGGGGTGGAGAGTTGGGATCTGAGCCTGGACTCTATGTTTTGGGAGAAGAAATACAGCCTGGAAGGGGCCATGTATGGACAATGAAGTGGAAAGAGCAGAAATTAATATATATATATATATATATATATATATATATATATGTATGTATAATATTATAGATTACCACTACTTTTAAAACGGTCAGAGATTTAAAAAAATAAGGCTGGAAGGAGAGATACCAAAATGCTAATGGTAGCTGGGTTAGCATTTTGACATGCAAGTGGAGGCAAGTTTCTTCTTTTCTCTATTTCCAATTTTTACGTGAATGATTTAAAAATGACTAATGAAGTTGACCAAGGAAAGACAGCTTGAAACTCGCATTCCAGGAGCCGCACTTTAGCCAGTTGTGCGGCCCGGAGGTCGACACTCTTCTGCGCCAGCCGTCCTGACACCCACGCTCAGTTCACCCTCCAGTTCTGTCTAAACGTCTTTCTTCTCTTTTTGTGAACCTCGCTTGCCCTTCCACAGCCTCATCTGGTGTCACTGTCTTTTCAAAGTCTCCCTAAAATCTGCTCTGACTCACCGCGCTCCTCCTGCCCGCACGCAGCTGTCCCAGTATCAGTGTCTGTTTGTTGAATACTTGCTGGCGCCAGACGCTTAGCTAAAGCCTCTTTGTGCGTTCATTACCTGATTCACTGCTCAAAAGAAGTCAGTGATGCCAACAGATATTTTTAAGTTCACTCTACAGGAGAGGAACTTTCCTTTAGAGAAATTTTGTTAGTTGCCCAAGTGGCAGAGCCCACTCAGGGATGCTCGACCAGAAAGCTTGTCTTCCTTTTTTTTTTTTCCTTTTGATCTTGATTTCTATTGTTATAACTATGGTTAAGAATATGGGCAATTAAATTTCCACCCTGGGAAGTACATTGAGATCTTTTTTCAATTTTTTTTTTTGAGGGTGGAGGGGTTGGGCTTTTTTCCCTCATTGAAGTATAATTGACAAACAATATTGTGTCAGTTTCAAGTGTACAGCAAAGTGGTTCAGGTGTATACATATAATTTTTTTCAAATTATTTTCCATTATAAAATCAATCCCCACTTTAACCTGATGAGTAGGCATTATATTGTGTCCATTTTACAGATGAGAAAACTGAAATTCAAAAAGGTAATTTGCCCTAAATCATAGGATACCCAGACGGTGTGCAGGGAGGGTGCTTACTTTCTGTGCATTTGTTATCTTCTTCACCAAGGGCATACCAGGATGCTCGACCTTCACAGCTGAACACTTAACTGCAGAAAGATGGACTAGAAAATTAACTGCAGAAAGACCGACTAGAAAGTGAGAGGGTTCACAAACCCTGTGACTTAGCAGGGGCACAGGACTCTAAGGTCCTTTTAGAGATTATTTTCTCGAGTGTTTGCTGCACTTAACAGGAAGAAATTAAATGCTGAAGTGTTCCCCAAGTAATCTGAAACTGTAACTGTGTGGGTGTGTGGGTGTGTGGGTGTGTGGGTGTGAGTGCCAATTGGTACAACCTCTTCCTCTCGTTGACTGGCAATTTATCTTGCAAACTTTTAAATGGTTGTGCCATTTGATCCAGAAAAATCTCCTTCTAGGCGTGTATATACTTGGACATGTGAAAAAATATGCTGACACCAGAACCCCAATATTTAATGCAGTCAGAAAGGATTGGAAAGCCTGAGTGTCCGCTGATGTGGGCCTAGTTGAATACAACGTGGTATCCTATACAGTGGAATATGAGGGGTCATTTAGAAGAATTACGTTGAGCAATAGGTGCTGACAGGGAATGTCTTCCAAACACATCACTAAGAAAAGCCAGGTGCACGAGCGGGCATGCAATATGCTGTATTTTCATGAAAAAATGAAAGCCTGTCTCTGTCTGGACGTACCTAAATGAATACTGCTTGTTCATTACTGCAGTAAGAGGGAAGCCCAGGACAGGAGAAAGAATGATTTTCTACATATTTCCTTTGTTTTGTTTGACTTTTATTCCATGTGTACTTATCTCATTTATTTTTGAAAACAAATACCATTTTAAAGGGGGTTGTTTTTAGCAGGTCTTAAATGTTATGATACCACTGAAGGTTCAGTTCAACAAAGAACAGGTGGCAGTAACTGATTTTAGATCTTGGACAATATTCACTACAAAAGAAAGTCCACACCCAGGAGAAGTGGGTGGAGGAAGGCAGGGAACACAGCAAGGTCAGAGATCAGGGAAATGAATCCACAGGCAAAACCAGCATTTCTCATCCAATAACCATATTACTCCGTGTAGATCTGGGATTGTGAGAACAACCTTATGAATGCAGTTTGGAAATGGAACACTGGGTGCCAGAAATAAGACTCTGGTCCATAATTCATGCATTGATTTGATCAACCAGCACTTGCAGATGCCAACTTGAGTCTCAAGATACTGACAGAATAAACTCTAATTCCTGTAGACCTAGCTCTGAGCAAATGCCTGATCTAGTTGAAGAAGACATCTTGAAGAAATTCTCAGAGGATGTGTTCCTGGGCTGGGCGGTCCAGACCAGAGCCTTTGGGCTCTGTATTGCCCCAGGAGATCCACTCACCCATGTCGTTCTGCTAGGAGAGTGTACAACTGGGAGACCTAACTCAGTTTGAGAGCCACATGGGGTCAGAAAGGCTTCCTGAGGAAGCTCATTGAAGGAGATCAGTAGGAAGCAGGGTGAGGGTGGGAAGGACAGAGCATCTGTGAAGGCCCAGCGTCAGGCAAGAGCTTGTGCTGCTGGGGACGGAGAGAGGGCTCCCAGGACTGGAGTGTCTTGGGCGTTGAGGAGCGAGGTCCCCATGGAGGCTCTTGGCTTATGTGCCCACTTGCTTTGTCTAGAAAAGAAGAAGGTGAAATAATCAGAGTTAGGTTTCAAAAGCCACATCTTCACAAAGGGTGGCTTAAAAGAAAGCCACCACCCTGGCTGTGGTGGAGAGAATGGTTGGAGGAGGTATGGGGGAGCGCATTTGGGGAGGATGGTGGGGCAGCTCTACCTAGGTGAGAGAGAACGTGGACTTTCTCTTGGCCTAAGCTCATGGTGGAGATGAATAAGGCGAATATTTAATGAATAATTTCCAGAGGGATGTGTAGGGTGAGGAAGAGGGAAGGGTCAAAGAAGAATTGGAAGTTCCTAGCTTGAGCAACAGGGGTGGGGGGGTAGGGAATAGGGGAAAGTGGGTTCTTTGAACTGAAATTCAAAAGACCACAAAAGGAGATGGCTGGAAGGAGGAAGAGGAGCAGATGAGTTTTGGATGGAGTGGTCTGCAAGTAGAGCTGTTCCCTCCTCCATCAATTCTGGCCCCACCAGGACCTCCCAGCCATGGGTCTCTCAGCTTTTTACCGTCTCACACTTCCCTTCGCCCTCCCTTCAGTTCCTGTGGGCCTCAGGTGCTGCGGCCCATGATTACAATCCTTTGTGCAAGCTTTCAACTTCTTTGCTTTTCTCTCCCTCCATTGTGCTTACTCGGTGTTATGGGCTAGATGGTGTCCCCCAAATTCATATGTTGAAGTCCTAACCCCCAGTACTTCCGAAGGTGACTGGATTTGGAGATGAGGCTTTAAAGAGGTAGTTAAGTTAGAACAAGGTCATTGGGGTGGGCTCTAACCCAACATGACTGACATTTTTGTGAGAAGAGGATGTTTGAACATGGACACGGGAAACACAAAGGGAAGACCCTGTGAGGACACAGCGGGAGAGAAGACAGCCAGCACCCCCCAGGGCCAGAGTCCTCAGAGGAAATCAACCCACCAACACCTTCATCTCAGACTTCTAGCTTCCAGACTGTGGTACAATAAATTTGTTGAAGTTTAAGCCACAGTAGACTTCATGGCTTTGCTCTGGTAGCCCTAGTAAAGAAATGCCCCCCTGCAAACCACAGTTCCATCAGATCCAACTCCCTTCCTGCATTCCCGCTTTTGTTCCAAACAGTGGGGAGTGAACCGACGAAAGGACACACCCTCGCTGACTGGCCTCTTTTGATTCCTGAGCCTTTGACGTCACCCTGGGAGCCTCTGGGCCCCTGCCCCATCCTCCCTCCCAGTCTCCGGAGCTGCCCTGTGCCCACCCACTCCCAGCAAGTGACCTCCTCCTTTCACTGAGAGCAGTCAGAAGAAGCAGTCCATGCGACGCTGTCAGCAAATCCACTAACCCTCTGGCCCCTAAAGCCCCGTCCTCCACCTTCCTTCCTCAAAGGGAGGAGCTCCCACCCCCACCCGCCTGTGCCCGGGATTCCTTCCACCTACACGCGAGCTTTTCGCTGCAGCATTTCCCTGTCTCCCACGTTATCAATTGTTGTCTGTCTGCTTGGTTATCCCATCATCGTACAAACAGACTGATACAGGTCTCTTCTCAATACAGTGTCCTCTGTTCCTTTTTACAGATCAACTCATCAAAAAAAAAAAAAAGTCATCCAACTTACTGATGCCACCTTGCTTTCTCACATATGCTCCTCAGCCTACTCACATCCGGCTTTGTCCTCGACATTCCTGGAAAACGGCTCTTGCTGGTAGCACCAATAACTCCCAAGTGATCCTCCCTCTGGTGTCAGGGGTCGCTCTGCCCAGTTCTCTTTGCTGGGCTCTGGTCATCTTTCTGAGCTCCATACAGGCATGCCCCACTGTCGAGGCTCTGGGACTCTTTCCTTCCATCTCTGCGCACACTTTTGACATGGTCTATTTATCCTCTTGGCTTTAAAAACTATCTGCAAGCTAAAGGCTCCCATATGTAAGGCTTCAGTGCTGATTCCTTGCCTGAATTCTAGATGCTTATATCCAATTAGCTACTTGACGTCTCCGCTTAGGCATCCAACAGGCATTTCAAACCTAACACCTCCAAGACCAGATTCTTGCTTCAAGCCTTTTCCCCCCAGACCAAATCTATTTCACCCTGGTTTCTCCCATTGCTATAAATGGCAGTGCTGTCTTTTCTCCAGTGAGCAACTCAGACCACAATTCCTTGAGTCATCTTAGACTCTTCTCTTTCTGGTAAACTCCACATCCAACTCATCAGCAAATCTTATTGCTTCTACTTTCAAACTGTACCTAGAATCCAGCTTCCTTTTTTCTTTGATGCTTTTTACTACTCTCCTGGTTAAAGTCACCATTACTGGTTTTCTTTCTTTCTCTTTCTTTCTTTCTCTTTCTTTCTTTCTTTCTTCCTTCCTTCCTTCCTTCTCTCTCTTCTTCTTCTTCTTTCTTTCTTTCTTTCTTTC